TTAAATATTTTGTATTTTATTTTGAAGTGCAGCAATGCATCTTAAGATCATATACTTAAATAATTACAGCAAGAGGGGAACCTAAGAAGTTATTGATTACACCAATTTGTTTTTTGTTTTTAGAAGATTTTGCCGAAACCAAAACGTTGTAGGAAATCTCCGTCTATTTATAAACTTATTTGCATACATGTCCAACCCAGGTCTATGTTTGATCTTCTACTCATTATTTTAAATCACTTTATCAAGGAATATTTAATGAAAATAAAATGACAATCGGCATGGGATGAAACCACTTTCGCTCAGTGTACTAGTATGTATGCTGATGATATGTCGCTCTATGTGGGTGCCCAACAGCCGTTTCCACATCCGCCCGATCGCCCGTCCACCAGTCCGCTTCAGCCATGTCGGAACTGACAGTTGAACATTCATTCATTCGTTGCTTTTCCCTGTCCCCCATTTCCCCTTTTTCCCCATTTTCCTGCAGGCAGCTGTCAAGGCGTAGACGCAAAAATCAAGCCAAACCAAGCCAAGTCAGGACATGGATAAAGAGGACGTGGGAGGGCAACATAAAGGAAAAGCTTGACGGGCAAGCAAAGCAAAAATTCTATGGCAATTTGGCAGGCGGGGTGTAATGCACATGTGTGTGTGTGTGTATCTGTGTGCGTGTGTGTATCTGTGTGTGTGTGTGCGGCGTCTTCGCCCTCGTCCTCAGACGGAAACACAACGCAATGACTGAGCGGAAGTTTTTTGGAAGCGCATAAAATTATTATGGAGCCGTCTTCCATTTTTTCTCCCATTTTTATGCCCCTGCCCGTGCCCTTGCTTTCGTCTTCCGTTCTCCATCTTAATTCTCCCGCCTCCCGTCTCCCTTCTCCTGTCACCCGTTCCGTCTTTGCGCGTCAATTGCGCGTCGTGCACTTTGCCTCACTTGCCAAGGAGCAGCGGCAGGACCTTTGGTTATCAATTCATAGCGCTGCCTGCTGGGGTTCCTTTCCTCTCCTTCTTCTTCCGTACTCTCAGTTAAATTGTTAAGTGTGTTTGTGCATGTGTGTGTGGGTGTGTGTAAGAGAGAGAGAGATAGAGTGTAAATTCACTTTAGTTTTTCAGTTCAAGTGGCGATTGGTTTTGCTCGCAGCCGTTATCGCCATCGCTGTCGATTTATTTTCCGCCTTCATTTTTATTCAAATACCGCGAATGTGGGATACAACGCTGCCTATCTGGACATTGTTCAGCTCAGAGAAAACCTAGTTATACGAACATATTTTGCGAACGTCATGTTCGGTCGCGAATTTCAGAAAGAATTCAATGGTTTTAAAGAGGATTTTTAAATACTACAAGTAGAGTATGTTGAGGCAACAGCTTTGACTTTTCTTCTGCGAGCCGGTCTTTGTGATGTTCAGTTTGAGGCACTGGCTTCGATACCAAGCTCTTGCATTAATTCTCGCTTCTTGTGCAATTTACATTGTATTTGAATACCCAAATATTGAATTAAACTCTATTCGAAAACTCCATTCGAAAATTCGTTCTTAATTTGTGGGCTTTATGTTTTGGCTTAAGGCTGAGTGATCCTTGGTTAACCATGGGCTCAGAGCTCTGTCTCGTCTAGTTGTCCTGTATCTGGGGACAACCCTTAGCAACATTTTCAAAAAAAAAGGAGAAGAAGAAGAAAAACAAAAAACAGTAAATAACGACGACTGTACGGCTTAGCACCCTCCCACGCATTCACCCCTCACCCGCTGTCTATGACTCATGGCTGTCTCAGTTGTTTTGCCTCCTTTCTTTCATTTCTGCTGTTGTTGTTATTTTCAACTACTGCTGTTCACACTGGGAATTTTGGGGAAATTAGCACACAGACACGCACACACACACACACACACACACACACACACACACACACACACACACACACCCACCCATACCAACGTCCACACACAATTGACCAGCTGACTGGGAAGGAACCGAGCAACGAGCTGTGACTGCGTGCGCGTTGTTGGGTTGCAGGAGGTGGGGCTGTGAGGGTTGCAAGTCAAGTCTTGCAACCCCCGCTTTTTTATTATTGTTATTATTTTTGTTTTTTCGGACACTCAACTCAGCAACCCATACGCTTTATTCATTTTGGTCGGTGTGGGTGTGTGTGCTTTTTAAATAAAACTTTTCAATCGGATTTGTAAAATATTCCGAAGTAAAAAAAACGACAGGAACTCCCTTACGTCTGTTGCCATTTTGTCGAGAAGACTGAGTGGATACGCATGCATAAGTACTCGTTTAGCTTGAATGTTATTTAACAACATTTCCAGGGAAATAAAGAGGCGTTTTTGATGCGAAATCCGAGTATTTCCCAAACAGCAAATAATGCGAACAAATTTGTCCATAACGTGGGCTGTAACATAAAATATTTAAAGGCCAAATGTAGAACATTTAAAATCAACCTTTGAATGCAGAACATGCTATTTGCATCCGTATTTTTAATAAAAAGAACCGCTGTAAGTTGATTCTCAAATTAAGTTAAATAAGTTTTATACAATTTTATTTAATTGGTATTGTTGTTTTTGACTTGAATGCATTTAGAATTTAAGCTTATATGACTTTTGTCATAATGTAGCATACTTGCTGAGTATCAGGGACTTATCAGACTTATCTTAAGATATCGTATCTAATCTCCCAAATGATTTCGTTAGAATTTGGTTTCATAAAAATGTTGTTTCTAAATGTACTTTCCACAAATATTGAGCTCGACAAATAAGGTCATTCAACTTTTAGTTAAGGGCTGTAATTTTGCGAAACTAAGCTTCTCTTGATGGTGCGGCTGAAAGCTGGAGTGCCTTTTTCATGAAAGGACACACAATCGTATCCAGCCATACCCACTCTTTTCCCGACAGATACGGATACAAATACGGAGACAGAGACAGGCACTCGCTTGATTCATTCACTGGCGTTTTCCGTATCGTTTTGTTTCGTTTGGTTTCGTTTTGGTTTCGTGCCAAACGCTTTTTTATTTTCACAACGTTTTCATTTTTGTTTATTGTATTGCATGTTTCTGTGTATGCGCCGCAGATATTTCACTTTTATACATTTGTTTGTTGCCCTACCCACAACCAACGACCCGCCACCCCCACCACCCTACCACCCCCATCGTACACCATCAACCCCGATCGTCCCCTCCGCACATGGCATCGTAGTTTATGCATTTCGTGTGTTCCGCCTTCGCCGATGCAACCCATGTATGAAAAAGGATAATAGAACAAGCCCATGAGTCATGGCCTCCTGTTTATCAAATGCGGTTACTCCTGGCCCAACAAATATGTCAATTTTTCTATTTTTCAATTTTTCAATTTTGCAATTTTCCAATTTTTATTCATGTCGCAAAAACGATGCCACAAAAATGAAAATTGAAAACTTCCCAGATAGCAGGCAGCAACAACGAAAACAACATTTGAATTAAAATATACTAATATTTCAATCAATTACAGTTTATCTACCCACTACCCCGCCAGCTTGCATAATTCAATTAAAAAATTGAAGCTTGCAAAATGGAAGCAAGAAGTGTGCAACCGATATAGTTATTCGGACTATTTTGTTTGAAATCTGTCGGTCGCTCGCTCGCTCGCCCATATGCCGTAGCTTTGGCATTTATTATGGAAATACATTCAATGACATGATTGCCAAATGCTGAAAATATACGGGCAGGTTGGTGGAGGCTGAACCACTTGCTGTGGTTGCACCTATTTGTGTATTGCTATATACCCGGACAATACAAATTGGGAGAACGGAGTGCGCAGTGTGTCGCACGGTAAAGCTGCATTTTCGGCCCACCTATCTGCGGTAATGCCCGATTCTTTTGCTCATTTATTTGTCCCTTCATTTGCCTATCTTTCTGGAATAACAACTTTACTTTCCCCTGCCTTTGTTCTGAACTACTCCTGGGATACGCATAGCCGAACTGAAATGTGCTTCCTTTAGCACTTGAAGGTTTTCAAGATTTCGCTCACTTGTTCTTTTCAATTCCCATTAACTTTTATCAAAAAGTGGCTTTATTACATTTTATTTTTGGAAACTAATTTGATTCCGACCTCAGCAGTTGGCTATGTGTAGTCTTAGCTGCATTATAAATCAACGAACCCCAATATAAATTACTTGATTGTATCGGTTGCAGACTGACTGATTTTGATTTCATATCAAATACATTTTGTTAAATGGGACTCTTGAAATAGACCGCCGTTATATCATCAGTTCGAGATGACAGTAAGGCCACTACGCGCATTTCTCCATGTTCGCCCATCCACAAATGTGAATGTGTGTGCGTTACATACTCGTATACGGGATTTGCCACGAATTGAGGCATGCCACGAGGCACGCTTCGCCGAACGCTTTTATGCCCGTTGCGCCGATAATCAATTTTCTATATACAAGCATAAGAATTGCAACAATTACGGCCATAACATGGCGTAGGAAGGAAGCAACCCTCCCCAGTGCGTAACGAGGTACCCAGACAAGGGCCTCTCCAGAGTAGGCGTTTGGGCCTGGTCGGTGTGAGCACGTGGTGTGGGTGTGGTTATGGGTGGGGGGTGGTGGTTGATTGGCGGGGGTAATTAGGAAAACTGCATAAAAATGTCGATTTTATGCGAAAAATGCGTGCCACTTCACATGGAAGCGGCAGTGGAGGGGCGGACTGAACGCTACGCCCGCTAGGCGGGGCAGATCGCTGGAATTATGTCTAATAAAAATTTTGTGCCATAAAAGGTCGCAAAAAAAAGCATTGTGGAAGCAGCCGCAAAGCAACACGGCTTGTGCGTGTTCATGGCCAAGTATAGTTGCCAACAACAACAACAACAACAACAGCAACAACAACAACAACAAAAATACAATCACAAATTTGTTTGCAGAAACGCGAATAATAACAACAATTAATGTACAAAAACATACACACACACACACACTCACACACAGAAAATAAGCAGAAAAAACTTAAATTAATAAGCCGACTGTTGTTTTATTTTCAGCTTTTATTTGGCAGTCGCACTCAGCGTCGCAGCCTTTGGGCTGTTTTGGTAAGTAAAGGCCCTCCTTGAGAGAATTTCGGCTGCTAATATGAACAAATATGCATACAAATTGGTGCAACAACAATGTCGACAGGCGCCCAGCGGTGCGAGACCACGATAGTTAAGATAGCTAGTTCGTAGATAGATAGTTGGTAGAGTGTGGGGTGAGGGAGGGATAAGGATAAAAAATTAACACGCGAACACCCGTCCAAATCAAACACTGACAGCTTACAACACACTAAAGAAACGTTAGACCATAGCTAGGCAGCTACAATACAGGTACGTCCCCACCTCACTTTCCACACAAAATAGCCCCAAAATGAATTTAATTCGGTAAGAAATTATAAAAGCCTAAATAGGCTCATGTGGCCGATCAACTTTGTGTCTGTCCACCTAGAATCAAATTACAAATAGGTAGTACCAGTATGTTTGCCAAATGCAGATGCAGGGAGCAGACCTGAGCATTGCTCAGTTGTCTATGCACAGTTTTGGGCCATCAATCGACGAACTTAACGAAATTGGTAAGGAATTACAAACTAGATACAACTAAGTAGGTTGTGGAAAATGTAAAACACCAACAAAATCAAACTCGTTTTAACTCCCATTTTTATGTAGCACACATTTTGAGGCCGTTGAATGTCGCGCTATGGGCTTTGTGTTTCTTGGGCTCGGATTGTTTGTACGAGTGTGTCCGGCAAAATAAAAAATCTTCTCGACAATGGCAGCGACAGCAACAATTGGAATAACAACAGCCACAAACAAGCAAATGACAAACCGCTGCCCACGCTCTCCGAGTCCGAGTGCCTAGCGGCGCTTTGGCAATCGAGGAGTGCTGCAGCAGCCACTGGCCGACAGTAACAGTAACTGTGCCAGTACCAGTACCAGTACCAGTACCACTACCAATACCAGTAACAAGCTCGGCAACTCTGTGCCGCACAACATGTCTCAAGACTCGCGTCCATAATAATTAGTTATAATCGGATTTTGTGTACCGGCGATGTACAATGAACGATGAACGATGAACCATGAGCGATATGCGATGGAAGGCGTCGCTGAATTGTCTTTACAAATACTTACATATACATACATACAAGTACAAACATACTATTTACTATACTGTAGTACAACAAGTATTTCGTCTATTTTCTTAGCCATGCTTTGCCTGCTGTTTCTGTTGTCGTTGTTATTGTTATTGTTGTTGTTGTTTCTGTTGCTGTCGCTGCTGGCATATTGGCCATTGGTGCCAAACACGCCCACACATGGGCAGTGCAACTCCGACCGCAAGTCGACACGAAAAACATAAAGAAAATCTAGAGTGGGTCGTCGTCTATGTCAGGTTGGCCCATGCGTTGGCAGCAATGGCGACAATGATGGCGACAGAGACGACAACGCCAACTCAGTCGCTGTTGTTGTTGTTGTTTGTTGTTTGTTGTTTGGCCAGTTTTGTGCTCATTATTATGCTCATTTCCAACACATTTTTATTCGTTTTCAAATTCGCTGCCCAAACTAATCAAAAATATAGTAGACGATTGAACTACAGTGGGTCGAACTCTTATAATCCGCCATCAACCCTCTGGAAGTCTTGGATCACCAAAAAGATTTTAGGCAAGTCCTCAGAACAGCTTGATTGAAGCCTGAAACCAACAACTAGGTTTAATAAGCTTAAGCTGACCTACAACTGAAAAATGTACAAGTATATTATTTTCTGTCATTTATATTGTTGTTGAACCACTGTCTACTGTCTGGTGTCTGGTCCCTGGTGTCTGGCAACGATCCAAGTTCGGTCAGCCCTCGGCCCCACACAGACCCATAAAAACCGGCTTGGCGACGACAACCGCAACTGCACCGGAATAGAAGAGTTTTTCATTTTTTACTGAATTGATTTTTTATTTATCTCAAATTGTAAACTTTTTCCATTCCACGTTTCACGCTCCCTTCAATCCACGTTCCCCACTGGCTGACCAGATATGCCAAACACACTGCAGCGTCATGGCCGCTGAGGTCGGGGAAGGGTAAATCTTGATATAACTTAATTAGCTGCGTTGAATGCAACACACACACACACACACACACACACACGCATACTCAAAAACACACATACACATGTTTTTATACATAATTGGACGCGGGACCCTTTTGGGGCAGCGCACAATCAGAAAAACAGAACAGAAAATATTGTATTCTGCAGATGCACGCGCCTGTTTCTTGTATTCGAGTGGGGGGTGGAGGAGCCTGCACACAGCAGCCTAAAAAAACAAAAAAACTTTTTCAATTATATAATTTTTAAAGTTAATATTTAAATAACAAAAACCAACATACTCGTATGTATGTGGATCTGTGTAGTATTCCCTTAAATCAGAATTTAATAGAAGCCCAAATGGGGGAAAGAGAGAAAAACACACGCATACAAAAACAATATACCCTTTCATTTTTCAACTGAGGCTAATATAAGAATAATATGAATTATAATTTGTGCATTGGAAAGTCAATAATGGATGTAATGTTGCATATCTCTCGCTTATTAGTCTTCCCTACAATATATACATACTCAAGCACCCTTTGACTTTGGGTGTAAAGCTATCAGCACTGCTTTTCTTTTTAACTTGAATTCAATTCGTTTTGCGTGTAGTTCATTTGGCTGGGGATTTGGTGATCGAAGCTGCAGCTAACGCCGATGGAGCCCAATCAATCCATCGCCCCTAACGACCCCACAATCTTGCTCATTTTGTGCCAAGGTCCAAGCTCCATTGCCACCAGCCAGCAGTGCGGGTGTGGTCTGTTAACCCTTCAACTTGCCTCCTTAATTCACAATAAACGTCAACTAATGCGACCGACCGACTGACTGACTGACTAACTCGCCAAATGACTGAATGCCTGAATGCCTGACTGGGTGGTAAAGCAAACACAGTAAAAAGGGCTACTTAAAGGACTTTGGCAACAAGAAAGAGCTGAGCACAGAGAAAAATAAAAGACGGAAAAGGTAAAGGACATTGGCAAATCCTGCCCAGTGGAGATTAGGACAATTAAAAGAGGAATGCTTAACAATTAAAATCAATTTGTGTGCCTGGTCAACTGTGTGTGAGGCTGGGACGGGGACTGGGGCTCTTGCACTTTGTTGTCAATTTGTATGGGCGAGCAAATCAACTAAAAGGCAGCAGATAAGCGCAAAGAACTTTTGCCGAAGACCCCTTCTTGTGGACCCTGAAATCCAAAGAAGCCAAAGTGAAACTAACAAAGGCCAACATTTGGATGATTGAGAAGCCGTTTCAAGACAAACGTATAATGGTTGTGCCATTGATTTGGAAAGCATCCCGCCCACTCCCTTAAGGGACACACCAAGGGGGACTAAGGACAGGGTTCAACTCAGTTCTTGGATTTAACAATTGGGCCAGGCACGCGCGCTCCCTTCTTGCCAAAATTTGACTCGAAATTGTCTTTTAATCAGCATTATAAACATTATAAGTACTCTACACTCAGATCGGCATATATGTAGTATATAATCATTTTTTCTAATATCGCCTTAAATACAACTTCAAATGACATATTATATCCATTTAAGTATGTTAGAGGAGCGCTGTTCTTAGTTCTTCTTTTGCTCTCGGACGGTTTTGGGGAAGCGCCGACCAAATGTTCAATACTGAATGCTTTACTGTCTCTATGTCTGCCTGTCTGCCTGCCTGACCGCCCGCCTGCCTGGCTGCCTGCCTTATCTACAAAGTCAGCAAAAGTTAAGTTTGTTGTCTGAGCCGCAGATACTTCGGCTGGTGGGGCGGCTTGGGTTATACATAGTACTAGGCACATTTTAAGTGCTGTCTCTGCCACTGCCACTGCCGCTGCTGCCTTTTTGGGCAACGAATTGTCGCCGAAGTCGGCAGGAAATTGAGATAAAAAGGGCTACTTTTGTGTGCACGACGCCAGTCTCTTTCGCAATTTTCGTTCTTCCCCTCGTGCATTTTCATCCACATACCTACTATGCTATTCGCTTTCTGGCACTGAAATGTCTGCCAGCTTATCATTTTGACATTTAATCAGTATTTTTGCGTGCTGCTGCTGCTGCTGTTGTTGCTGTTGTTGCTTAGCCACGCGACTGGAGGTCGTCAACGCCAGTGCTCTGCTGACTTCGTTATTGTCACTTCTAGGGCTACTGCTGCACTTTATTGAAAATACCCGAGGAAATTGGGCAAGTTTTGCGCGGAAAACTTTCTTTCCGCTTATCTGACGTCTGTGTGGCATTCAATTTATGGCTCGGCCAACAGCCTTATATTTTATTATATTATACTTGTAAATTTTAATATATCAGATAATATATGTGTGTTGTGTCTCATAGCAAAATGAGCAATGCGGGGCATGGCTGAGGCCTAAACCAATGCTGATGTTAAAGGATATTGGAGCTGTGTGCTAACATTTTAGCAAGCAGCTGCAAATTGCGCCCCTTGTCGACCAACAGCGAAAATAATATCAGGAATAACAGCCACAATAAGCATAACGACGACAGCAAAAACTTGTCTCAAAGGGCCTGAAAGTTGTCCAGGCACACACACGCACACACACACGTAAACACACGCACACACACACTCATTCAGGCATGGAAGACGCGCAATCGGGGCCCCAAATAAAAATCGACCAGAATTTCAATCAGCAAATTGAACACCTGAACTTAACTGATTTCTTCTCTTTTATTTTTATTATTATTATTTTTTTTTTGTTTTTTTTTTTTGATTCTGCAGTATGGGGGAACGAAGGTAACCGATGGCTGTTTTGCCCGCTTTCGCTTTGGGGAGAAGCTGCGTGCAAAGACAAATTGAGAAAAGAACGCGTCACAGCTCAAACAAGTCGAGCAGTCGAGCAATCGAGCGAACAGCAGTGGCGCAGCGGCAAGAGCGATAACCAATAAGCAAGTCAACGGGAACTGGCAGGAAATTAAGCAGGGTGCGACTGGCCCGAAATTAAAATGCTGCTGCAAGTGATTTTAAAGGCTGTCTAAGTCTCGGTCTCGGTCTCGGTCCCGG